GCTTTAGGACATCACTCCTCTGTGATGGACAGATTGCTGTGAGCACTGTCCTCACAGTTTGTCATATTTGGATTTACAAACAGATGCATCAGCTAGAGGCTTTACAGAGAGAATCTGCAAACCAGAAGGTGACGTCACCATGGCTTTGTCCATCTTTTTATATAGTATATGCAAGGAACCCACGACAGCTTATCTAACATGTAATTTCACCTTCTGTGCATACATTTATATTCTGAGTTTGGTGAGTACTAAGGTAATTTTGCTACTTTGAAATTTAGACTGATCCAAAGAAATGGTATTGTACTAACTGGGGTAACAGCAGCACAGTGAAAGTAGGCTGGCTCGGGCATCACTGCTGGTAGTTTGCTCCACTGGAAAGTCTGAAGGTTGATTTTCCACAGATCAGCTAATATCAATTCCCCATTGTAGCCTCCACAGATAAATACATCTACAATAGAAAAAGCAGATAAAAACATTAGAATGAGAGGATGTAGTATGAAATTACAGTGCTTAATAAGTGATACTGGCTATACAGAAATATGTTCTTTGGTATAGCAGGCCTCACCGTTGCGTATCTGCACGCAGCTATGGCACCTTCGAGGAGCAGGATAGCCTGTCAAAAGCACAGATATTTTAGTAAAGTGCACTACTGTTAAGGATAGCACAGGCTTACAGTTAATCATAATGTGAAGTATACAAACCTATCTTTTCATGAGGTTTAGTTGTAATCTCCTCCCAGGAATTGGTTTCCAGATTATAAGCATGTATCTTAAATAAATAAAAAATAATTTAAAAAAACATTTTAAAAAGTGACATGTGTGAAAAATGACAGACTTGGACAATTATCAAGATGGAAGACACTTCTACTGATAAATTCAAAATATTTCCAACTCATCTGATCAGCTTTTGCGTAGAAGTACAGATATATAAACAATGACTAATGCTAGCATTTTTATATGCTTTTTTTAGTAGTAGTGTACAGATTTTTTATTTTTTTTGTAAAACCAGAGTTTTGTTTCTTCTCTTTTTACCATTGGCACACTAAACAAATCCTAGGGAGTTCAAAAAAAGACTAGACTTTAGACTAAGACTATGAATACACCAGGAACATGGATTTTCCTTAGCTGGAACCTTAGCTGGTGACAAGTTACTTGAGGGTATATAAAATCTTTCAGTGGTACAGTACCTTATCTAAAGGATATGATGTCCAGGAAGTTCCTCCTCCCAGAATATAGATCCTCTGTCTATCATGTGCTATTTCATGCCTATATCTGTGAAACACACCATGACAAGGAATTTTAACATTTTAATACTAGTAGAGATGGAAAGAGATATGTTATCAGAAAACTTCACTTGCGATACAATATTATTGTAAGTTTTAAGATTCTGCAATAATAATTCCGGCGACCTTCCAGTTACAGATGCACTTCCCAACCCCCTGAGCCACGGTCGCCCAATTATTATTAATAATTATTTTTTGCTTGCAAAATGATTTTCAAGCATACCAACAATGTCACTATAACCTGCCATAAATGTTAACATAAGACGGAATCAGTCGGCAATTGAATGGGATCAAAGTGGCAATTATATCCAATCTGTTTCTGATAATACAGCAGTGAACTGCAGAGAAATTTATTGTATTCTATAAAATATTGATATTTGGTTTCCCTGTATTGATACAATATTGCCAAACAAAATATCCCCCCCACCCCTAATGCTAAACTCCTCAAGTATCATCATACCGCTCCTCGGGCAGGTCATCGGGAGGGTTGTTGGGCTTAAGGTGGATCCACTCTCTTGTGGTCAGGTCCAGCCTGTGTAGGTCTGTGCTGTAGATATAACCTGTTGTCCCTCCAAACACGTACAGGAAGCCGTTTATAATAACCATTGCCTGGCGGCAGAAAGTATGAAATGGCAGATAAAACACTGAAACAAAAATTTTACGTACAAATTTTTCTAATTTGAATGTGGTCGTCAGAAAGGAGGACGACTGATTTCTGTGGCTACCTGTCCATAGATTCTGTTGGGCTTCTTCCCTCGACAGTTGAGCAGCGACCATCGTTTGTACTTCACGTTACAAACGTGAACGTCGTTGCCATTATTTTCACCAAAGGGGATTCCGGTGCCCCCAAACACCAGGAGGTTGTTACCGTGCAAAACAGCTGCAGAAAAACAGAAACACCAAATTTGATTTTCATATGTGTTTTGGGTTTTTTTTGTTTGTTTGTTTGGTTTTTTTGGGGGTGGGGGTGGGGGTGGGGGTATGAAATACCAACAATGTGTAAACACTAGTAAAATGTTCAGAAGTACTAAATACACAATGCTTCACCTGACATTGATGCCAGCTCTGTGGGCATGTAGCCCTCTGTTCGGATCTGCTGCCAGCAGCCTGTTGCAAAATGATACCTCCATAGCTCCCTGAAAAGTGGATAGTCTTCATTTTCTGAGCCTCCTGACTCATCGTAGTCAGGGTTGTACCCACCAAACACATACAGGTTAGTGTTGTCAGCGACGCAGCGGTGCCCACTGCGGGCAGGTGGTGTGCGATGCCCTGGAAACAGAAAAAAAATTAACAATCAAAGCCTAAAAATGACGATGAGGAGTACCATCCATCATAGCAAAAAGCTACTACTTGAGCTAAATGCTGCTCTTAATTTTATGCATGATTTGGACTTTGACACTGCTTTACCAGATGAAACAAACTTTTTTTTTTTTTAAACTGACAGAAAAAAAAAGGTATATAAAAAACATTATCCAAAAGTAATACAAGTACTTGTAATAACAGTGATATGCCGTGGTCATATCACCCAGCAATCAAATCAATTAAAGCGTTAGAGTATAATCTGCATATGCATCTAAAAAGTCAAACGTTTTTTAGAACTTAAGACTAGTTATAGCTCCAACCTGACTAATGCTCCACCGGTTATATACATAACATGTCAACTTTCATATTCATAACTATGAGAAATTCTGCATTACAAGAGTCGTTGTATGACATTTACTGGAACTTGGGAAGAAACGTAAAGGCGTTAGACCAAGAACGCTATATAAGCTCAAGATTATGATCTATGTTAACTGATAAGAATGTGCTTAAGGTTCAGTATAATCAGCATTCATTACTAATTTCCTTGGCTGTATTGCAGTCTTTAGGATTACCATGAATAATTTTTACAACAGGTCAGCTGGGATACATGATGGATGGAGCGAATTTGAATGCAGTTGCAGAAATCCTTAACAGAGAGGAGGAAAGGAGTTACACAGAAGATTAAAAAAAATCCTATTTTCTTACATTTAATTTTTTAAATGCTATTGGATAGATATACTAATTGAGGCAAATTACTGTGAAGCCGCAGTTACAGGGTAATTTACTAACAATGTGCTGTAATTTATATATAAAGATGCAGCCAGTTCACCTCAGTAAAAAGAAAAAACAACTTTTTGTAGAAAGAATGCAAATTAGTGGCTTAAAAATCCAGAGGAAGGCAAAGCGCTGCATGCCTGCTAACTAAAATAATCCAGTTTAAGCTCAGGTTTCATATAATTTTTTTCCCTCTGAAAACAGCAAGGCAATCATGATAAATGAGACGAGGCTGAATAAAAGTGAATATGCTTTTTATATAAGAAATAACTCTTCTATCAGAAGAGTTATTTCTCAGCACTGTGCAAAGGGTTCTAATGATTAGGACTCAGGTGCAGCGCAAGATTGATCCAGAGGAAAACTGCATTATTAAAAACGGTCCCACCCTATAAACCTGAAATCTGTGTGGAACAGCTGACCTGTACCATGCGCAAAAGACCACAAAACATCATTTACAGTCAGATGATGAGCCATCTCAGTTGCTATGTTACTATCCCATGTGCGTGAATGCGCACTTCGCCTTTTAGTTTTAATAGCACATTGCAACATTTAAGCATTAATTTAACTCCCCAAACCTTTTATTAGTTACAGATTCAACAAATGGGGTTTGCCTCTAAACACGCACGCAATTTTTTTTCCAAACACAACTTCTTTTTTTTTCCAGCACTAAAGTTTGTGCAATTTGCAGTAAATTGTGTTCCGAAGACTTTGTAATTTACACTGGTGTGACTCATTTAAATATTCTCCTCCTGAAAGTGAAAATACAAATACATTTGGCATAATACCAGCCTCAAAAAACCCCTCCTGTTCACATACTGACACTTAGTCTCTTTCGTAAATCCAGCAGCTTTTTAATGTCAAAAGAAGGCTTTGTGCTGCTGTAGACGTTAGTACACCTGGCCCTAGATTTTTCTTCTTTTTAAGCCTACAAGGAGTTTTTCCACTGACTGTTCTCTTTTATAAGACCTCCATAAAACAAAAGGGTCAGAACATGTTGTGGTGAAGGAGGATGTGCGTTTTGTAGTCCATCTTCTACCCATTGTAGTTTCATCAATACTCAGGCACACTATGGCACCTATTTGCTCCTACTGTCTTGTAAAACTTCATATGAGCAATAAAACTACAATATAAGTATTTTATCAGCTATCAAGATAATATTTCTCTGTAGATCTATGTCAGCATCCATTAGAGTGACCAGTTTTGGTCTTTGTACTGCAGAATTTCCCTTTCCTGACCAGCTTGTATCTGTAAAACACAAAAGTATACAGGATCTCAACTTAGGATCTACCACAGGCATAAAAGGAAATAACTAGCAACCAAAGAGCAGTCTTTGAAAATTTTATACACACAATAGATCATCTCAGATATGTTTGGGTTTTATTTTATTTTTATTTTTTTTGGCCAGTAGAGGTTATACTGAAGTTATCCTCTCTATACGTTGCTGGAAAATAGAGATATAACAAATCTCTCCATGACTGAGAACATACCTAATAAGAGCTTGAAACTTGTTAGTGGACATGGCTCTGTGATCCGCTTAAACCATCAAATATTTTTATCAACCCTCAGCATAAACCAAAGATACACACAAAGCTTAAACCTTCAAATTGTTATAAATAAAACCTGAAATCCATGAAATCCACTCCAGCCGATATTAGAACATTTACTGTAGCACACTGCAGCCGATAAAGCTCTATGCAAAAGTATTATGTGCTATTTTCTCCTGTTAGCTTAGATAGGATCGCACCCAACACATCAAAAGATAATCAAACAGAATTGCGGGATGTTGCTAGCCTGAATGTAATGCTTTAAAATATCACGAGTAAAAGCAAAGTTTAAAATTCCTGACTCAAAGTAACAAGCAGCTGATGTAAATAACACAGACTCAATTTGACTGTACAAACATGATAACGTCCAGGTAAAGCGTAACGTCGTTAGCATATCTTGCTAATGTTTTTGACCGACCTGCTAACGTCACACCGTGCGGCGGCCGGCCTGTCAATTTCTGGAATTTATTCAGCTGGTCTGGACTGTGAGCACATTCGGCGTCCGACATCGTCTCCCCCTTTACAATCCAGTCACGGAGAATGGCACGTCAAATAAAAACAACATCTCATAAGAGCCGTAGAATCATTTTACGTTTCAGTCAGTTTGGAAGACATCCACAAACGTAACCTCCCCCCGCTGTGGATTGGACTTGGCCAATCACTGGACTCGTTATTAGGACGTTGCGTCATTAGATGTGGGCGGGGCGGCGCTTGCCGGTATGTATCCACAACACAACAGTTTTACTTGGAGTGTGGATGGCCCAAAATGCGTTCCCAGGCTATATATATA